TAATATAGGCTCCTCAACTCATAAAATTAAAATGAGTCTTTCAACTCAGAAACTTAAGATGAGTTCTTCAGCTCATAAGTCCAAGATGAGTCCTTCAACTCATAAAATTACGATGGGCTTCTCAGCTCATAAAAAACAAGAAGAGCTCTTCAGCTTATAGACTTGCAATAAACTTTCCAGCTCATAAAACAACAGCAAGCGTCTCAGCTCATCAAGATGAGCTCTTTGGCTCCTAAAACTCAAGATACAGATATGCAGGGAAAAGAGCTCAAAAGACCTCAGTATCAAGTTGCTTACTCTCCTTGCCAAATCCAGCAAACCTCTTCTCACTAAGGGAAATGATAAAGCACCTAATGTCGGTACTAAACAGCGGGGAGAAACCCTCAAGGAATAAAAGTCTCAATAACAATTTTGCTATTAAGGAGAACTGAATACTCCTCAAAGCAAAGGGGCAAGGGGAATACAGGGCGGTTTAAAACAAGCAGTTTAAACCACAAAACAATAAGAGCAAGCTAGATTGTGTTGAGCAGAATAGACTACATTGAAACAACAAGAACAAGCTAGATTGTGTTGAGCAAAGTAGACTGCATTGGAGAGCAAGATAGATTGTGTTGAGCAGAGTAGACTACATTGAAGAGCAAGTTAGATTGTGTTAAGCAGAGTAGACTGTATTGAAAAGCAAGTTAGGTGGTGTTGAACAATTTCAAAAAAAAAACAAGTACGTTTAGCATTCACATGGATGACTTAAAAGGCGAGTCAGGAAAGCAGGGCAAATTTACATTCTCCAATAGAAGTTGCAAATGCTTTCCAACAAAAAAAGGTAAGAAAAAAATAATAAAAAGAGAAATAAAGGATCCTAAGTTTCTGAAGAGAGAACAGGTGAAGGGTCCTACAATGCAGTTACTGTAGCTTCAGCAGCAGGAATAGAAGAAGAGCTTGGTAGCTCAGCAGGCGACCTTTCTGGCAAGGCAGCAATTGAAATCTCAGAGGGGCCAAGAACAGGCAAAGAGGCAGGGCCTCAATCTCAGTCAGAGCTCTCATTACCAGGTCAGCATAAAAAGAATTATTAGCAGGAACAACATGAGGAGTGGACATTTTAGTACCTTCCAAAGCCCTATCAAAAGCAGCAGGAGCCAAGGTGTTGTCATCGTCCTCTGAATCAGTCTCCTCCAACTCCTCCTCAGTGGGGATAGCAAAGTCAAAGTCGAGGTCTGGATAGGCCTTCTTCGTTTTTCGCTGAAAGGCCAGCCATCTAGAGGCTCACTTGGTGGTGACATCATCCTTCAGCTCGACTATTATGTCGTCCCTTTTCTTGACAGTAGTCTTCTGCACCTCGAGCTCACTACATAAGGTCTTGTTCGCCTCAGCTAGGATGACATACTCCTTTTTAAGGCCCTCGAGGGAACTCCAAGCATCAAAGGCTTCCTGGCTAGCTTTGGTCCAGACATTAGTTTTAAGTAGCAACTCTTCCTTGGTCATCCTCAGCTCATCCCTAGCCTTCTTCTCTCTTTCCTCAGCCATATCCTTGGCTACTTGAAAGCCTTCAAGGTCAGAGGTCTGCTTCTCCATTTGCTCCTTGAGCTCTTGCACCTGAGCTCTGAGGTTCTCGTTGTCAAAGGTCAACTCAACGACCTTAAACTCGTATGTCTTCAATGCTTTAGTAAAGTCCTCTAAAGATTGGACCCTACCCATCAAGTTCTTCAAATGGACAGCCATCTGGGGGCAGAAAAGAAAACAAGTACAGATCAGCACAAGTCAACCGAACCGAGCTAAGTGGGAAGTAAAAACACTTACAATGGTTGTTCCTTGGAGAGCTGAGCAGAAAGAGGTCTCAGGAAGCATGGTAGAGGCCCTCTGAATATCGAATTTAGGAAGAATGGATGAAATGGCCCCAACAGCCAACTCAGTATTGTTAAAGAATGAGTCTTCATCAGTTTCTCGGGCCTCCCTCTTTTCGACTTTGAGGCTCTGGAGAGGTAGTTGGGATGGTCGTTTAAATGGTCCAGGAGGAATGGGGTCTAGCTGAATTCCAGTAATCAGTCCCAAGGCTCCCTCAACCTTAGAAGAGGTAGAGGAAGCCAGCCCTGGCTCAAAAACCCTTTTGGGAGCAAGCTACGAAGAGAGGAGGTTGTTAGGGATTGAGATGAGGGAGGTTATCCTTCTTTGCTCAAGGCAGGAGAAGAAAGCACTCCCAGCTTTTGCACCTTAGCCCTATCAACGAGACTGCCTCCAGAGCTGGTCTCAACCTTTCATTTGCTATTCTTCCTATTCTTCTTCAATAGGTAAACCTTAGCCTGGAGTTCCTCAGGAGTAGATTTCATTATGGAGGAACTTGGAAGATCTGAACCAAGCTAGTTAAACAGAAAAGAGGAAAAAGAAGGGAAGACAAGGAAAATAATTCAGAAAGTGTTACCTTCTACGTCTTCAGGTCTAACAACAGAAATGGGGAGCGGAGCTTCTATTGATACCTCAGGAGGACTAAATCCCTGTGTTACTAAAACCAAGGGCTTGATGAGCTCGGAGTATTTCTCTAGATTACACTTCTCCAACTTTCGCTTCACTTTCTCATCCTCAACACTGAGCTCAGGTTGAATGCCTAAAAAACAATACAAGGAAAGCAAAGGTCAAAAAGGCAACTCGATAATTTTCAAATCAGAACTCAGTCAGTTTGAGCAAGGACTCACCTAAGTTATCGGGGGTGGACTAGGCTCTAGGGATACCAAGAGTGTCAGTCCTATTAGTAGGGTTGTACTCCCAATTGGTGCCCCCAATGAAAAAGAATTGTTTCTTCCAACCCTTACGGGAGCTTGGGAGGTGAGTAATGATCTGCCTAGCCGTGGTTTGCTTGGAGATATACAAGAAACTCTTGGATGAGGTGAGTTTGACATTAAAAAGATCTACAAGCAAGAAAAGGTTGGGAACCCCGAGCTCATGTTTTTTAAATAAAACTAGAAGACCCACCAGAACACCCTAGAAATTAGGGGAGAACTGAGCAGGGCAGACGTTGAAGTGTTGCAAAACATTCTTGATGAAGGGGTGCATAGGGAAACGAAGGTCATTCTCAAAAGCGGCCATAAAGAAACAGACTTTCTAATGAACCTGGGCAACATATGGGGTGTATTTATCTAGACACCAGGGCTGGACACTAGGAGGAAAACCGTAACGACCACTAAAAATTTTCATAACAGAAGGGTCAATCTCACTGGGGACTACTATTAGCATGCCTAAAGGCAGCCTCTGTGCCCGCTGCGCTGTTAGAGACTCCTACACCACTCACCTTGCCCTTACCTTTGTTAGGGTTAGGGGGCACAGAAGAAGACGATGGGGGAGGTTTCTCAACATTCGCCTTGTTTCGACAGCATCAACACCGAGAAAATTGTCGATTTCCTCGCCCACATCACCTAAATCAGTGTTCTCTTCAACAGACCTTTCTCCCAAGAGAGAAACAGAGGATCGAGTAGCTCTAGAAGGGGTAGACATGATTGGATAGAAGAAAGGTAAATTGAAAGAACGGTAGAGGTGAGGGATACTAGTAAGGCACTCCCAGATAACCCTAGGGTCAACACAGTAACTTCCAACAGCGAGAATTCGCATGATAGGGCCCCAATCCACGAAGTGGGGAAGAAGAGACAAGTAGCAATTTTGGTTCCAGAGATAAAAGAATCGAAAAGCCCAAAAATGCAATGACCACCTCGAACTTGAGGGATCCAAGACGAGAAAAGGCAAAAAATAGGGCAAAAGAGGCGTACCTAGTTAGGAAAGAACAACAACCTAGAGTGAAATTGAAAAAAGTGGGCAATGTGAATCTTCAAATCGAACCCAGAAAACTCGATCTTGAGTAAAGAATCAAAGAACTTCAAATTAGAAAGTCAAGAGACCGCAAGAAGAGAGAGATAACCAAGATACCAAACAGTGGAAAGGGCTGTTCTGATAGAGTATTTAAAGCTTGAGAGACACAAGCTGAAGCATGTGCGGGAATCGAGGAAGCCATGATTGCTAAAAACCGTCCAAAGGGCATCTATCACGTGCAAGCCAAGGACAGCCACATGAAAGCCCAGCTTGATTTAAAAATAGCTCAACCCTTGCCCAAGCTCACTTAAACCAGGGGCTAGGGAGCAACTGATAATAACCCAGACAAGTTATAAGAGCGAGCTCAGGAAACGAGATCAGGTAGGATACGAGGAGCACAAAAGTCCAGAGCTAGAGCTCCCCCAGGGAAGATGGTAACGGAACTGACCAGGGAACAACTAGATGACTGCGAAAATTGAGTTCAAAGCATGAAACTCTAAACCAACCAAGATTCTTTCCTAAAATCAAGGAGAATCCCACTAATGACAGGCGAAGATCTCGGCTAAGATCCTACAGAACAAGGAATAGTCTTATAAATACTATGTAACACCTCCATAGAGAGGGGGATGAGAAAAAAAACCTAATTTCGAGATATATCGTATTGTAATACATTTGAGTAAAGAATAAAGGAGAGGGAGCAAGAGCCTCCATTGAAGAGTGGACTAGCCGAGCTCTTGGGCCAGTAAACCACTATATTTTCATTGTGTGCACTCCTTTAAATCCCCTCAGTATTTTTCAGCGGCATCACACACGAGTCTTGTAGCTCTGATCCACTCTCATCACACGTCACCTGCACTTTTTGTTCATCCACGTTGATTTAAACCATCAAGAAGCTTCTCATCAACACGTTCTGGGAGTTCTGCTATGCCCATTTCCTGTGGCAACAGCTCTTCGGCAACCCAATATGCAATCAATCTCCTCACTGGAATTGCAAAGTCTCCATGGAGAAGTCCAAAATAAAGAAGGCATTGCTTCTAAATCGGCATCTCTGTCTAAAGCACTGCGGAGCGATTCTTGGTCATGATCAATCTGTTGTAGTACCATATACCACTGCTCTTGGGTGGTTAGTGTCTTCAACAATTCATCTTCGACTTTACAAATGTCCGAAGGCAAGCCCATGCACTTCATCATAATTCTTCTCCCAATATCTTTCAGCTCCATAGGGGTATTAAAACCAACCCTAGCATTGAATAGTTCCCAACCTCTTCATCACTTAATGCTTGCTTTTCATGTACAAAACACTCAATGGAGACTTCAGGTATCGTGTTCCTGCTGTGAGTGGTGATCATGATTTTATTACCATTGTATTGGGCCGGTAGAAGTTTTTGAAGGGCAACCCAATCTTCAGGTGTCCATACATCATCAAAAACTATGAGACATCTACTATTTATCAAAATTTTGTGCAAGAACTCCTCCATGGGCTTCGCTTTGTCCTGTCCTTCAAACAACAGAAGTTGAATTGCTATTTTTAGCCGAGCTGGTTTGTCATTTAATGCCTGAGGTACACTAAACCAGGCGTGGCAATCAAAACGGGTGCGGACACTGGAACAAACCTTCTGGGCAAGAGTTTTTTCCCTATTCCTTGACGTCCAACAATCCATACCACCCTGTTGGTTGCATTGTCTACGATCAAATGTGAAGTAAGACGTTGCACATCTTCCTCTAAGCCAACAACATGTTGATCCATTCCAATTTCCCTTTGGATGAGGTCTTTGATCTGATTCCCAATGGGCTCAAAAGTAGTGAAGAAGTTGAGTACAGCGGAAGGCGAAATGCAATTTTGCCCCCACTTGAGACACAAACGATCCCAGAGATCAACCACATTTTGGGTGATCCCCAACGCCTCAACCGCAAAAGTCTCTACTACTCCAATTTCTTCTCGTCGTTCCAAAATGGTAAGTACGAGACTTAGTATTCCAACAAGTCGAGCAAGTCTCTGTCCTGATTTAAATCCAACCATGAAGAGAAGAACTTCCGAAAATCCCTAAATATTCCACTGCTCCTTGGTAGATGGTCTCTTTGACAACTCGTTTCCTAGTCCAAAAATGGCCCAAGATAAGCCCCTGCACCTCCTCACATTGGTTCTCCCAAGATTTTCCAGCTCCATCAGGATCTTAAACCCAACCTTTGCATTGAATACTTTCCAACTCTCTTCATCACTCAATGCCCTCCTTTCAAAAGTACTAAGGATCTGGGACACCATATTCTATGCCTCTGTTGCGAGTAGTGATAATGACTTTACTCTCCCCGAGAGAGCAGGTTGGTAATACACCTCCAAGGATATTCCACGCTTCAGTTGTCCTTACATCATTGAAAACAATAAGATATGTTCTTTTTTCCAAGAAATCATAAAGCATCATGGTTAGCAACTCCAAGGACGTGTGCATTGCTTTTTTCAATAGGTCAAACGGCATAACTTGCGATGCTATATTTAGGAAAAGCCATCTGTTACTTAACTCCCGAGGTACACTCACCCAGACATTGCAACAAAAACTCTAGCGGGCTAGGGCAGTGTCATAAAGTTTGTGGGCAAGGGTGGTTTTCCCTATTCCTCTTGGTCCCACAATAACTACCATTTTGGAAGCCGCCTTGCTACTGCTAGCAATCAAGCGTGAAGTAAGAAGCTACACATCTTCCTCTAAGCCAACAAATTGGCCCATCTTCTCCTAAAAGAAGAAGGGGTTCAAATCCGGTTGCCCTTCTGATGAACTCTCAGAACTTTCTCTCAATGGGTTCCAACTCCTTGATAAAGCAAAGTGTAGCAGGACAGTCCTTATGAGCGTAGAGTTCAACTACATGTTGACTAAGTTCCATTGAGGTCTCAGTTGCTCCCACTTTTCCCATTTGGAGAGACAAACGAGCCCAGAGTTCAAGAGTGAGTTCCACTGCCTCAATCGCAAAAGTCTCAGCTATTCCTACTTCTTCCAAAGTGGCAAGTACCTAATTCAGCATTCTAAATGATGGCGTGAACCAGCGTGGATGAGCAAGAGGTATGAACTGTTACTTCTGACTACTTGGATCTGAGCTACAAGGCTCGTAAGAATTATGTTTAGAACAGTTGGGGGATTGGGGAAGTCGACATAGGGAGAATATAGTAGTTCACCAGCTTGGGAGCTTGGCAAGTCTACTCTTTAATGGAGGCTATTGCTCCCTGGACCTATATTAATTGCCTGAATGAATCTCAGTCAAACTGTTGGGTACAATTAGGGTTCCTCTCCCTTCTCAGGAGGCATTACACAGTATTTATAAGATTGTTATTAGTTCTGCAGGATCTACACTGAGATCCTTGCCATTTATTCGAGGAATCCTCCTTGATCTTAGGAGTGGATCTTGGCTGGTGAGAGTTTTATGCTTTGATTGTAGCTTGGCCATTGGTGTCTTCTATCATCCAGTTGGCTCTTTCTCATGCCTTTTTTTGCTAACTCTAGGGAAACGAGGTCTAGGCCACTAAGATCTAGAGGTCTTACCTTACCTCCTCGTCTGACCTCCGCATCTAAGCTCATACTTGTAATTTATTTGAGGTATCATCAGTAGCCCCCCCAGCTCGTGGTTCAAACAAGCTTGAATAAGGGCTGAACTTAAACTGGAGCAGAGTGGGCCCCCATTCAATGATCTCGATACACGTGCAAACAAATTTTTGACGGTTACCAGTAATCATTTTTCTCCTCGTTCCTTGCGCGCGTTGCCCACTTCGCATCCCCTTGCACCGTAAGCTTGAATACACCTGGATCAACAGTTACCTCCTCACTCTTCGAATTCTCTCTGGTCTTTCCCCTTTACTCTTCTACGATTTCACTTTCTCCAATTTGTCGTTGTTCTTAGGGTTTTCACAGGAAGATGATTTCCCCTAATTTTGTCTTGAAGGCTTAGCGAGGCTTACTTCTTCATTCTTCGCTTCGAGTGATTAGGTACGTTTCCTGCCTTTTTTCATACTTCTTCATTCTAGATCCCTCATATCTGATGTGTTTGTTACATTTTTGGACTTTTCGATTCTGTTATTTTAGGAACTGAGGCTGATCTCTATCTCGTATTCCCCTCTTCCTAGATCCTTATTCAACTGCTAGGGTCTTCCTTATTGTCAATTGTTGTGTTGCCCCCAGACTCTTAGAGAGTGTTCTACAAATATTCCTCCTTTTTATCGTACCTTTAGACTCCCTTTTTCTTGCCCAACTATGTCTGCTTCTTCTAGAGCTACCCCCTCTTTTGTTTCTCTTATGGGAGACAGGTATGTCAATGAAGATAATGACTTAGGCGATGTGGGTGATAAGATTGATAACTTTCCTAGGGTTGATTCCACTGAGGCCAAGGTGGAGGTTGAGGAACCACCCTCATCATCCTCCCCAACACCCAAGATCTCTAGTAAAGGTAAAACCAAGGTGAGTGGCGTAGGAGTCTCAGGTAACACCGAGGGTGTAGAGGCTGCCTATAGGGCTGCAGAGCTTGTAGATGCCAGTGAGGTCACTCCTCCTCAGATGAAGGTCTTAGCTACTCATTTCGGTTTCCCTCTGGGTGTCCAATACTAGTGCCCAGACACCTATACCCCATATGTCTCTCAAGTTTATAAGAAGGTCTACTTCTTTGTTGCTGCGTTTGAAAATGGCCTCCGCTTCCCTCTACATCCTTTTATTAAGGGCGTCCTGCAGCATTTTAATGTCTACCCTACTCAACTTTCTCCAAACTTCTAGGGCGTATTGGTGGGCCTCCTTGTTTTCTTCAAGAAACACAACCTAGGGGTCCCTTCCATCCCTTTGATCATGAAATTCTTCAACGTTAAATAAACCCCCTCTAATGGTTTTCTGTATATTTTCAAATGAGTGAAAGTCAAAGTCATCATTTCTAACCTCCCCAGCTCTCATAAAGGTTGCCAAAAACTCTTTTTCTTTGTGTGGGACAATCAATGGGAAATCAACCCTGCAGATAAGATCGACACTCTTCTAGTCCCTAGAGCCTGGTCTGCCCCCGACAACTTGGGTGAGTATTTGCTTGCGCTAGTTGTGGTTGATTCTGATGATCTACTTTTCTAAGTTCTGCTCATTTTGCTTCTCAGGTATTCGCCCTGAGCTTAGTGCTGAGGACAGGCGGATTCTGCTATCCTTAGCGGACTGTGATTCAAAGAGGTACTCCGACCTCCTCAAGCCTCAGGTCCTTGTAAAGCTTGAGTTCAACCCTCCTGAGGTGAGGATTGAGAATTCGTCTCCCCTTTCTGTTATCAGCGTTGAAGAGGTGGCAGGTAATGTTCTTTCTACCTCGCCCTTTGCTTTTTACTCTTGTTTCCTTCTCTTCTTTTTAATGTTAATTCCTCTATGAGTTCCTAGGTTCTTCTTCAATGGAGCCTACTATGAAGGATCCCACTGCCAAATTATCCTTGATGAGGAGAAATCAGAGTGGGAATAAATGCAAAGTTGAGGTTGGTTCAGGGAGTGACTCAGCTTCCCTAGCCAAAGTTCCAAGGCTGGAGGCGCCCCCCGTTTCTTCTCAACCATCCCATGTGAAATCCCAGCGTTACACGGTCTCCCCGAAAGTCGCACAGACTCCTCCTTCTTCAGTAGAAGTTGAGAGAACTCTGGAGGTGGTTTCTTGCTTTTAGCCAGGATCCATTCCCCCCTACCCAACTGAGGGGCCACCTTCGCAACTTCCCAAGGTTTCCAAGAATGAAAAAGGAGAGCCCTCCAACGTGGAGGCAAGTGTGAGCTCTCTTATTGACAATGTGAAGCGAGCAGCAGAGGTCATCGTCTTTATTCTCCTAGAGTCTGATATCCAACGAGCCGCTTCAATGCCCCTTGGGTCCTCCATATCAACTGCCCTGTTTACTACTACCTTAGTGAGTGTTTGGCCTTTCAATCTTCCCCTCTATTCTGTATCATTTCCTTATTCAATCCTTAGCCTTTCTGGGTCATTTTTTGTTTCTCAAATGACCATCTATGTTAGCGAATTGCTGAAAAGGATTCAAGCTAAGGGTTCTGCCAAAGCTTCCACGGCTTTCAAGATCAAGGCTGCTGAACTGTCCTTTGAAAATAGTGACCTTAAAGCCCAGGTCTAAGATTTGCATGAGCAAGTGGAGAAAAAGACCTCCCTTACTAGGAGCCTGGAAGCTGAGAAGGAGAGGATTGAGGATGAGGGGAAGAGCTCCCAAGAAGAACTTAAAAAGACTAAGGAGGAGCTCAGGAAGACCTCAAGGTAGCTCAAGCAAAAGACGGATGACTGGATTAAGGTCAGTCGAGAGTCCCTAGAGGCTCTAAGTTCTTTTAGGAACATGAAGAGGGAGTATGGCATCCTAGTTGAGGCAAGTGATGCTCTTCGAGATGAACTTGAGGTACAGAGAGCAGCTTGTAAGGAGAAAGATGACTTGATTGCTAAGTTGTCCGATGACGTTACAAAAGACCAAGGCAGCTAACTTTGAGGTTGGCGATGTGCCCCCTCTTGCTCCTGAGGTTGCCTCTTTCTCTGCTGACCTTGTCTCCCAAGCTCTGGCCCTAAATTCGTCATCAGCTGAAATCGAGGTCCCCTCTTCAGGGCTTATAGAGACTCTAACCACTGAGCTTCCAACCTTTTCTCTCTTAGAAACTACGGTTGATGATTTGCCAGTTGTTTCCCCTGCTGGGCTTCTAGGGACATCGATTGTTGAGCTGTCAGGCTCTCTTTCTGCTCCTGCAGATGAGGTTTCAACTACTGAACTGCAAAACCTTTCTTCAGAAACTTAGGATTTTTTTTTTTGGTAACTCTGAGCTCATGCTCTGAAATGTAACTCCTGTAACTTTTCTTTCTAAATACACAGCTGTTTTCCTATATTATAGTTGTGATAGTGATTCCCAGTTGTAATTATGTTCGCTCTTTAGTTGTTGCTCTACCTTATCCTCCCCTTGCCCCCTTGCTTTGAGGAGTACTGAGTTCTTCTTAAAGCAAAATTATTGAGTTTGGAGAAACTTTGAGCCTGATAATTGCATTGAGATCTTACGCAGA